TTTTTTTGTTCTTACTAGGTATAGTGGACAGAATTTTGTTCGCGAAGAAAAGCAGATGAGCACTGTGATGATAGCCAGCGTAAGTAAGCACCTGCTTCTTCGCCTGCTGCACGGGAAAGCACTTTAGCGCCATCAGCACGCCCATGAGGAGAGGCTTGGTGGCCTGAATGTCCTCGACGTGCATTTTCTCGAGATGCTGGCGGACGATCCTTGCCGTCGAGTCGGGGAATCGAAGCCCATGTAACTTACACGACCAGTAGATGGGTCAGTGCGCCAGTTCGAGAAACCCTTGTTGGTCAGCATAATCACAGTGAGAAAATCAAGGACTAAAGGCTGCCACAGGTTACTTTCTCAGAAAAAGAAGGGTTGCGAATTTTGAAACTTTCTGATAGCTCTGCAGAACACTTTCTCCAGCTGAGCGAGACCCTATCAAACAATTATATATTCGTGTAAGAACCAATTTCTCTGCTTGCCCAGCTCACCGGAGGCGTCGCACTACTTGGGAAGCATTTATACCCGCTGATCTACGATCTGACCGTTGGAGCGTCGGCAAAAGTCAAAATGGGGCTTCTTCTGCATTAACGTGGATGCGAGGGAGAGCTGGCGAGATTTTTGGCTGGGCGGACCTCAAATCCGAGTTTGTTCGCATAGAGCCTTGACTTCGGTTGGGCACCTCCTTGGCACACTGGCAGCGACTGGGACACATCACAAGAAGACAACGGCGCGCGCATTCCAAGGCTGTTCTTCGAGAGCTCTAATATTTCCTTTCGTGATCGAGGAGGCACCTTCATCGATATGACTACCAAGCGATTCCGACGACTTAGACGCCAGTGAGACCAACCACCGCGTGGTCATACCAACGAACGCCCACGTGAGAAGAGCAGACGGTGATCCCTAATAGGATGAACATGACGAGAAGACTTTGCAAGTCCCGTGAATAAAGTCTCGCTGAGCTGCGGCTACATTTTCGTATATGCTCACTAAATGTGGTATGCAGCACGACGATATCGAGCTGACGAAATGGTGACACCAACACGAGTTTGCACTGTAAGAGCTATGACGACGGAGACATCAGAGATGATGACGGGTGTTCCTATGATGAATGGCGACAATTTCTCGCTCTAATCGATAGAGAAAGCCACGGCAGAGACGACGAAGAATATGTCCTGCGGTGGCGACAAGGTAGCCGGCGTGGCGGCGAGTGTGAGCTCAACACGGGCCAAGACTACCTTCGTCTACGACGGTCACGACTCTACAGGAATAATAAAAGAAGATTACCACAGATGATGTAGTAGTTGAGCAGGGAGGGTATGACGCACAGCGAGATAATTGTCACGTTTTGTTACACCAGTGGGTCGGACTCCAGCGACAGGCCAAAGATAACCACGACGGCAGAGGAGGCAGGAATGAGCGGCAAGGGTGTTACGACGGCGCTGGCTCCAGGTATTTGAGAGGCAACCGTCGTTTTCGTCAGGAGTGCTGGTTGTTACTGGCACGCGAAGCACTTTTGGTAACGTTTGGTGATCCGTACACACATTCTTGGTGCTACTCTAGCAGAAATGGCGACTGTACATCGCTCTCATATAGGACATTTGGCGTCAGTACCAGATGGTTGTGCTAGATTCGCCCAGGAAATATGTTTGTTGCCGCATAGCTGAAGCAGTGCGAGGCTATGTAGCAATGCACAAGTGCCGTTGATGCTTCCGTCAAGCAAAAAAACGAGACATCCCGGTCGGTGAGCGTTCATTGCCGAGTGATCAACCCTTACCACGCTCAGCGTCATAGCGTCGTTGGTTCGTCAGCGTGTCCCTACGGGTGCACCAACCAATCGAGCGGCTAGCAGAGCAGTTGGCAGAATGGACGCGTGTCACAGGTCAGAGCCACCTCAACCTGCTTCTTTCCAAAATAACAATGCGAGCGGCTCGCTGGAGATGATACACACGCATGGTTATTTTTGGAAAGAAGAGAACACAACCGTTAACGACAGTGGACAATGACCAACAAAGCGGGGGCGCCAGCATGGCTTGACCAACAACAACAAAGGTTACATGACGCTTCTTACTTAGACGACCTCTACGACGCAAGTGCGAGAAATGTCACAAAGGTAAATACCGTTCACGTGTTCATGCGTTTTCGCATCGGGTAATTTATTTTCCCCACGAGTCATGGATGCGGCTGTCTAGGTAATTTATAGTCTCTGCAGCCGTGTGCGACAGCTGAATGCTTGAGAAGAACG